CCTGCGGACAATTTAGAATCACCAATTAACCTCAACATGTTGTTGGACTGTGTTGGAGGAAGAACCCGGAGAGAACCCACGCTGCACGGGGAGAACATGCAAACTCCACACAGAAAGATCCTGGGTGTCCTCACTGGGACGCGACCCTTCTAGCTGTGATGCGACGGTGCTAACCACTGAGCCACTACATCCATCTCATTATTGTAAAATGCGAGTTTTGTCAAATTTGGCACGACAGATGTGGCCGTGATCTTTAAAAATCAATATCTGTCCACAAAAATGTCTCCACAAATTCTGACAAAATTCAAATTTTCTAATCGAATAAAATGATGATATTTTATATCCAAAAGTCCACTTCACTGTCACATCATAGTGTTCTGTAAAAAGACATGTTCATGGAGTCATACAGCCAACAAGGCAGTAATTGTAGTTTAGATTAAAAAATAAAAAGTTGTGTAGTTTAATTATTCAGAGCTGTTGTACTGGATTGCTGTCAGGATTACCAAAATTATTTCTACTTGCTAAATGCCAGAAGAAAGAGAAGTTTTTTGTATTACTTTCTTCAAAGTCAGACGTTTACACACACTCAGTTCCACCAGTTCTGTCAGGAGCAATGTGCCAAAATCCTATCAAACTATTGTGAGAAGCTTGTGGAAGACAACCCAAAACGTTTGACCCGAGTCATGCAGTTTAAAGGCAACGCTACCAATTACTGACTCTGAAGAAAGTTTAAAAAAAATCTCTCAAATAGAAATCATTTTGGTAAAACAGGAAAAGTTTGATTTAATGTGAAATAGTGAGGGAAATTTTTTTTTTAAATACTCAAGTGGATTGCTCCCAATTCCACTTAACTGCAGCCGCTGACTTCACAGTTACCCTCCAAGGCGGAATCTACACAAGCTGTTGCCCCCCCGCCAACAGAACGACGTGGTCAAAGTCAGCACATTCAGCAGCGCTCGTGACTCTGCAGGGCTTTTTCCACTCGAGTCTCTCACGCCATATGGTGACCTTCGGACGCTATAGGGCCTCGAAGGGGGTGGCAACGAAGAAAAAAATGGCGCAGACACAGGGGAGGTAAATATACATGGAAGGTTACAGAGGATGTAAAGAAGTAAATGAGACTTTTGTTCTTAACCGCCGCTCTCAAGCCGGCAATAATGGGGTTTTAACACTGAAGTACATTATCGCACATCAGAACCTATAGACGCCTGAACTCTCCAGTAAAATGCGTTCATTTCTACCAGCGCGATGAACATAATTAATACAGCCGAGAGAAGAAAACACATATTTCCACAGCGCAAACTTAATAAGAAATGCTCCGACGATGAATGCAAAAAAAAAAACGTGGTCGCTCTATGATTAGAATATACGGACATGAAACAAAGGACAAGCAGCTGGCGTGTGAGGCGTAATGAAAATAAAAATGTTGAGATGAATTTTTCATGGAGGAACCTGTGACAATTGCCGACGTGTGCATTTTCCAGCCGCTATACATTATTCAACGAGACTCGAGACGAGGTGTTGATTTTTTTTTCTTTTTGCAAGAAGAATGTCATTTATGAATAAAATAATGATATAATTACTTATAAAAGAGTCAAAGGCAGGAGATTTTCCACATTTAAAAACCCACAGCGGGGCTCAAGCAAATCTGTGCTTCCAGGACTTCATTTCTCAAATCATACATTATGATATCATGGAACACAAGAGAGTGTACAGAAGCAAATCTGCCCAATGGAAAATCAAATCCCTGGATAGACTGAGCAGATTTACCTGGTGGAGGAAAAAAAAAAATCACTGGAGCAAGCAGATGCAAAATTAAAATAGAAATAAAACACAGATAAAGAGCTTTCAGCAAGTGAAGTGGGGAAAAAAAAAAAAATCCAATCATGATGCATAATAAACCTGAAAGCAATGGTGGTAATTATCATTAAACAACACTGATGTTTATCACTTTTTGATATCATCGTATACGGCTTCTTTCATTCTCATATTACTTTAATGGCTTTACATCTTTAGTAAGTGTAATTATCTGATGGATCTGGATGTAGTTAGAGTTTCATTGCTGTAAAAAAAAAAAAAAGCTGGTTATTTCCTGCTCACACGCTGACACCTCTAGCATCGCCATTGTTCCCACCATCTGCATTTCTGTGGAAACACTGAAGGTAATTTTTTTTTTAGTCAGAGCTTTTGGCAAAGATAGAAATTTGTAATTTGCGGCGCACAAAAGATGCAACGGTGACATGGATGAGGGATCAGTGTTATTCTTTTTCAGCTTGTGAATGTTTTTTCCAGTCCAAGTCAGCGATGTGCTGCCGGCGCACAAAGAACACATGCAGCAGTTTGTGCCACGTTGAAAGTATTTCCCAAGATTATCGAGTGCACACTTCATTTATGTTGACCAAGAGATTCTTCCGGATGTTTTCCTCTGCAAATGTTTACTTGTTCCCGCTCTCGCAGGGCAGTAATACACAGAAAGCTCTTTTGAATCAAGTTTCTGAATGTAAATCGGCTTTTTTGGACGTATTGTGGTTTCACATAAAATCGCAGCACTGAGGTGGCTCTAACACCACGTTCAGCTGAATACTGATCGGTTTTGGTGCTGCTTGATCTCAGATTTGAATCTGAGGAGGATAAAATGCTTCGAGAAGTGGGTGGGATCGTCTGGTACAGTCAGGGGTGATGCTACTGCTACTGATGTGGAATTGTGTCGAGTGATAAATGACAATAATGTGGCCTTTTCACAGACAACACTCTCAGCTCTTTCATCCCACTGTGGCGATATCTTGCAGACCATTCTCTAGTGCTGACACAGCACTTTGTAGAACGGTCTGGCTGCACCTCATCGTCACCCTGCTGCAGGGAAAAGGTGTTTGCATTTCTTTAAGTGACTCGCAGTGGTCTCGGGTGAGGCTAAGAACAGCATGCATGTGTTCATTTTGATGGAGCATTTGGATTCAGAAAGTCGCTCAGAGACAACGCTGCCTTACTGCACGAGCCAACACCACAGCAAAACTTGATTTTTTTTTTTTTTACCGTGGAAGGAGGTTGTTGTTTCCTGTAGTGAAAGGGGTTTTGAAAAACAGCAACACATAAATAAGGGAAGGGAAGGAGAAAGCGTATATGTGTAGCAAACAGCAGGCTGTAGCCCATATGTGGTGACTCAGACTAGTTAAAAAAAGATCAGATGGAACAAGAGGAAGAATGCTGTTGTTCAGTTTCCAAAGAAGAGAATCCAGATATTGTAGCGTCTCAACTAGTCTGACTCACAGGATGTACACTTAGGGTGTAAGGCTGCTTTTTCTCGGGCCGCTTTGTCCTCCCCTCTGTTTTTCAAACTCGCTTCACTGTAGGACACAACCTCTGGAATACCAAGCTGAAAAATGTACATGCTGAAGATTTAGATAGTGGAGCCCTTCTACTTCTCTGTAATGGATCGTGTGGTGCAGCCAGACTATGATGTATTACAGCATGGATGGTTGAAGCCAGACTTGTCTAATCTGAGCTTCAGCAGCCACATCATAGCAAAAATCAATATCATCTCAAACAGAATAGGAGGTGTCATGTGTGACGACTAAATGTTGTCGTCTGTTCATGCGTATTAAGGTCCACACAGAAATACCTGGATTTGGTCACGATGCTACAATGAGCAGAAGTGTGCCTGCTCAGCAATTTTATGCATGAATAGAATGTGTTATCGAGGCCACATGTACGAGGCTGGAGGAGTGTCAGACAAGTTCCAGGACTGGTGTCACAAAAGATTTCAAATCCAAACTATGGGTTTTACCCTTGAGGCCATCAATCAGCACGTCTACAAAGAGATCCTGCAGCGTTTGCTTCGTTCAGTGAAGAGGTGAGAGTTGTGGCAGGACAAGTCGTGGCTGCTTCACCATGACAACCTGCTCACAACGCCCTGAGCATCCGAAAGTTCCTGGCTGAGAAGAACATCACCGTGCTGGAGCAACTTCCCTACTCACCCCACCTGACTCCGTGGGATTGTTTCCTCTACCCCAAGGTCAAGGAGGTCATCGAGAGGACCCGTTTTGAAGACGTGGACGACATCAAGGTGGCTGTGACGACGGAGGATCCTGGAAGAATCCTTCTAGGAGTGCATGGCGCCGTGGCAGAGACGGCTGGGAAAGTGCCTTAGACGCCAGAGGGATTACTTTGGAGGGGAAAACTTGTAGTTTGGATTTGAAATATATCTTTTATGACACCAGTCCTGACACTTTTCTGACACACCTCGTAGATTGTGTACTCCAATTCGTCAGTTTAGAGCAACTACACGTCCGTGGAGTCTGTAGCTATCCATGCGTGCATCCACAGTGGAGTGTAATCCCGGCTAAAGAAGAACCAGGAGAACTGAGCACATGCTGCTGTTTACGCTCAGCGATGCATAGGATAGATTCTGAAAAGCTGCTGTTGGTTCATAAGTAATTTCTAATCCTTTTGAAGGATATACAGGGAACATCTATTAGATCTTCCTAAAGAGCTATTAGTGGGTGGCAAGGATCTGGTGGAACTTCGATGGTGATCTAAACAGAGTGTGGCTAACCCCCGATTTAACCCAACTTTAGCTAATTTCAAATCTGAATGAAAAATTGTGCTTCTATCCCTTTGATTGATTGTTTCGGTTGTTGCATTTGTGGTACTGTTTATTTCTTTGTATTCTATTTTCATTTCATACATTTTGTTTGATTTTATCTAATTCTTTTTAAGTTTATGCTATGATATTTAGTTTTCATCACTTTCTTTTTCTTTTTTTTAAAATGTGGTGTTGTGTTGTTTCTTGCCTGTAACAACCTTTTTTTTTTCTTTTTTTTTGTGCATTTTTGTTTCAAACTTCCCAGACATGAGCTAACATGCTAAAACAAGCTAACAAGTGAACTTGCTGTTATGTAGCCAGGCTAATGTTTAGCATAAAATACTTTGAAAGAAATCACTTAACACACTAAAGTTATGGCAGGTGGTAATTCCAATAAACTGCTCAGTAAAATACCAAGTAAAAGCTTTGTTTTTTTAATGTTTATTTATATATCTAGGCTGTACATTTGCTGCACATTACATTTAATGGCAGCCAGTGCAAAGTTTAAAGTGGTATGCCACAAAATTAGATGCTATAGAAATACTGTTAGGAGAGATATATTTAAAACAGTTTCAGAACAATAGCGAATACCAGATTAAAAATAAATAACACATGAAAATTGAGATTTCCCAGCACTACCAGCTAATGTTGCTATACAGGAGCCTCTTATGCTAACAGCTACATGACCCGAAATCTGTTGATATGCACACGTGCATCTTTTTCTCGGCATTCCTGTACTCGCCAAAGAGTATTTAAGTCTTTCGTGTTAACTATTTAAAATCCAACTATTAAATCCATCCAACTATATTAAAACTATTTTGCAGCAATAGTGACAAAAAGAGAAGATTGACTTCACAGCATAGAGGTTAAACTATAATACTTTAAAGATGTAGTTAAAACGGGCTTTTCAGTGTAGCCGGAAAAAAAAGAACGAACGAAGCAGTTTGAAATATTTCTGGAAACTCCTGACTTTGACAGTTGAACATGATTTTTTTTTTTTTGTCTGCGGCTTTTCCAAGAGCGGCATATAAATCACGTTTTGTAGTGCTTGGGTCAGCGCCATGCCCAGCTGAGGTCTACATGACCTCCACTGTCTCCTGCACCTGTTTTCCACATCCCCCTCGTGCATCGGCATCTCTTTATATATCCGAGTTCAAAAGCAGAGTTCAGGCTGCGATGGTCCCCCGTGAATGCAAGTCATTTTGTTTCCATCTACATCGTGTGGGTTTTTTCAGCTTCTGTTTGGGTTGTGTTACCGTTCAAACTTTTTCCTCTCTTCTTATTCCTCCTCCTGTCAGTCATTGTTCTTGCGACCAGTCTTGCTGAGCACAGAGTTCAATTCGTTAAGCAGATTAGACGGCATCATCCCCTCTCCGCCCAGAACGGGTCTTTTGCCGAGACTCTTGCACCCGCCGGGAGGAGGCGTAGGCAACGGCATGGGCTGCAAGTGTCTGGGCAGCGACGGGGAAGGAAGCCTCTGGGGCGGGAAGATGTCCACAGATGTTCTCCTGTTTGGAACCTCTGGGGCCTTGAGGAGGTCCTTGGGTTTGGGGCACCTGGCTACGGTGTTGGACTTTAGGTGGAGACCAGCATCCTTGAAGGCCTTCCGGTCTCCGTCCCCGAGAGAAACCCTCCTGTCTGTCAGCTGTGGGGAAATATGGCATGAAACTGAATTCAAGTTAATGACAAACCACAAACCTGGCTTTATTATCCCACCGTGATAGCAGATTAAAACGAATAATGGATTCTGTCAGCTCGGTAAAAGTCATCCCATCGACCTCCGAGTGATGCTAACAAGCAATCAAATCAAAATAATTGTAAATTCTTACCTTCTTTCATGAGCTAAGGCACTGAAAAGCGTCAACAGCTATTCAGAGATTTAGAAGTATTAATCAATAACAATCCTTCATCATGACGGCCGACTCGCTCATGAATGGATAATGGATCGACAGCGTTTCATTTTTAACCCAACCCAGCAGCAAAAAAAGAAAATGAAACGACTACCGCCATTGATTTTCTCACCAGATTGCTGGAATTGTGGTTGCGCGGTGGACTCTTGGCGCTTTCCGTCACAGCGCCCCCTCTGGACGGTTTCGCATCTGCAGCTTCTTTCGTCTTTAAATAGAGGTCGGAACCGTACTGAAGAGAGACGGCAGAAATGAACACAGAAAATGATGATGGATATTTAATGAGGACAACAAGGTTAGTTCGTTAAAGACGGTATGCATGCGGATGCTAAAGAAAAGCCGTAGATTAGGGTGACATGAAGTGTAGACAGTACTCTAAAATAAGTACTGTGTAGGTATGAAGTGCTGTTAGTTTAAAACAAGCATCTTTTTTTTTAAAAATGAGGTAAAGTCAGAGAGCGAGGATTCTGTGTTCTATCACAGCGGTCCGACAGTGTCCTGATCTCTGGCTAAACTTTCTCTTTAACAATGTCTCCTTTTATATCGCTGTGACCCCCGGACCTATAGAACTGTCTCTCTTTAACAAATCCTTATTTCATCACTGCTCGGACCTGTCCTTGGACCTTTACACCCTCCCCCAGCTCTCCGACACTCACCCACCACCACCACCACCACCACCACCCATTCCACCTTGCCTCGGAATGAGGTCCTCCATCGGCCGGTTGCTATGGAAACTGTCGGAGCACAATGCTCGCTAACAGGTAAGGGAAGGGAAATCAAGAACACTGAAGTGCTCTCTGTCTACTTTCTCTTCTGCACTTTCTCTCTGCCCTTCCCACTAGTCCTGTGTCCTTCCCACAAGCCCCACGTTGTTGGAAGCTGACAATCCTGATATTTAGCGGATTTGGGAGGAGAATCCTAATATTTTTAGCTGGCTATAGATTTAGTTGTTGCAGAGCTAAGAGCTTCTCCAAAGAGAAGAAGAAGAAAAAAAACTCCACTGAAATAAACACCTTGAAACACTTAGAAACAACCGAAAAAAATTGCCTTCCCCTTTAGATCAATCTCTCCCTGACAGTGTTGCCCTTTTTACTTGCTAACCCAAACTAAGGCACTAAAAGGCTTTTACAGTAAGCACCTGTGATAAACAACACTGTGCCGCAGACGGGTTCCCATAAAAGAAGCCAAGCAGAGTGCGAACGCTGATGAAATGTGCTGAGCATACAATACAGAGCCGGGGAAATTGCAGTTTGATATTTCAGTTTGGTGTGATGCTCGACTTTAGTCATTTGCTCGAAAATGAGCAGAAAATAGACATTTAGTCTAATGAGGATCAAAAAAAAGAAAAAGAAAAAAAGAAGGTGCTATTTAAAGATGAAGAAAGCAGAAATGGAGGTGCGAGTGAAAAATAATACAAGATAATGACACATCCGTAGCTGTTCTCCCCCCGTGTTTGCTTTGCTTTGCATTATTTATGTCATATGTGCTGTGTCAGCGACTGACAGCAACAACACTTAGCTCTATCTGGGGGCTAAGTACCACAATGTGATTGTTACAGTCGCCTTGACCTTATTCTCACAGCTTTTCCACATAAAGTGATTTATGTTTTTGCTGAGTGACCTCGAAAACTTTACACTTCTCTCCCTGTTTATGTATTTTCATCTGCCTAACAGCACAATGGAAACGGATGATCGGAGAGGGGGGAAATATGATTTATAATATCGTCTTGTTTTGAGATATGGATTGTAAAAGATGATTTATTTAGTCTGTAATCGAGTGGATTTTTTAATCCAAATAAAGGAGGATGTGTTCGCAATGTGTGCGTCACATTCCAGCATTCTTTCCCCAGAGTTAGCTTCGTTAAATTGCTTCTTCAGGCTCTCATCTCTTAGCGTCTCTGCCGCCTTACCTTCATCCCGATGATGTCCGTCACCCAGCTGACCTGCGTCTCCCTCTTGTCGCAGCAGAAATGCCTGAAGGAGTAAGAGCTCGGTCACATCAGTCAACAGATTCCATCTTGTTATTTTCGCTCCTGTTTTAAACAGAGTTTTAATTTTGTTTGATTTTTTTTTTTTTTTTTTTCTAAAGGGACACTTCACTGATCACTGTAAATGGAGAAAACGTTGCATCCATTACCTATGATTATATCAGTCTGCATGAGTAAAGTATCCCCTTGGCAGCGGTGATTAGTGCCGTCAGCAGTCACCTCGGATGATGGTTTAAGTAATACCTGTCACCTATCAGGGTTTGTACAGTGTATACTTCTGAGCTATATCTGGTGACGGCTATTGTGGTCGTGTACTGTACTGTACTCCAACTCCAGAACGCTATTATGAAAACCCATTAAAGCAAATTAAAAAGGCTAGAGCATAGAAATGATATAAGGGTAATTGATATGATGTTTGTTCTTTATATTTGGCTGTTCGGACTTTCATAAAGATGGTTAACCCTGTCGGCTCTAAGCTACCTTCAAGATAATTTCACTACCATTGCTTTGAAACTTCTACTTTATTCATTGTAACGGCTAGCCATCCATGCTGTAGCTTTGCTTTTATTCAGAGCAGTCAAGGCTATCTATCTTCTGGTATAACTGTACTTGCAGTTATTTCAAATAAATGACGCCGGCAGTAGAGATAATTATTCATAATTGCATAGAGGAGATTGTCTGGAATCTGGCAATGTAACAGCCAGGATGATGAGATACTGTATGACTTAAAAGTAGAAAAAAAAATATGTGCTTCGTGCCCAATGGAGATAAAAATCATTATATTTTCATTGACGTGCAGTTTGGGGACACATCAGGCTAATGTTTGGACTCCCCCCAGTTAAAACTATTGATGTAAATTCCACTTTTTTGCTTCTCTGCGACACAAGAATCTGGTATTATTGGAATGGTCATGCAGCTTCATTTGATATGCTTTAGGGATTGACCTATATGGTGTTTTCAGGGCAGATGTCATATCGATTATTGATGATTAAGACACGTAGATGGGCAATATTTGGAACTGACATACATTGAAAGTTATAACAGCATGGGATAGTAGAGAACATGTCATTCATAACGACCTTTCTTCATTATTAATGATTACTATACCTGAATATGTACAAATACAGCGATGCTACAATGTGTTTGCTGTGAGATCGATGAATTGAAATCAATAACAGTTTGTTACATCTAACGTTCTTCTCGGTTTTATTCATCTTTCTCTGTTCTGTCCCTTTTATTGCCCACTATGGTCCAGATCTTAAAGCATTATTATTATTATTTATTGTTTTCCAGACAGTGTTTTGAGGTAATCTGTGGCAGCGTCCTAACTTAGCCGCTAGCCGTTAGCGTAGCCTTAGCCACAGTGAATGTTGCTAATATTCTAGCCACAGTGAATATCGCTAATATTCTAGCCACAGTAAAAGTAGCTAATATTCTAGCCACAGTGAATGTCGCTAATATTCTGATTTGTGGCGACGGCTTACGGCTTTTTGTTCGGTTTCGCAGGTTGTGTCTCTGCTAAAGAGGTGTTAATTAATGTAAAGATGGAGGACAAAGAACACTTGTTTTAGAAGGTAATTATGATAACATTTGCTATGACTACTCAAATGACAGTTGTTGAAGAAATTCATAATCATAATCTGATAGCTGACATATTTTAGTCTGGATTTATGACAGACTGACAAACTACTGCAGTGCCCATCAAATAAATAACACCTATTTAACATCACAGAGACGGAAAGTCAATATCACAGACGCAGGATAATCAATAAATCAGCAAGATTGATCTGACCTACAGTTATCGGCTAATGAATTTAAATCGGATGTTTTTATGCCATTTTTGTTCGTACATCCAAGCTGTATATTACAATTATTCTCATTAGCAATTAATCAAATAAAATAACTTAAAAACAGACAAAACGCAAACAAAAAAATCCATTAAGTGACATTCTTGGCTATAAATTAACTCATTCTGCACATTGTGAGTATTTGAATTCTCATCAAATTAACCAATAATAATACAAACTATTAAAAAACCAACACTTGCTTATAGATGTCGAACATTCTGACAATGTCATGCAAAAAAAATAATTAGATCTAATGTTGCTGTGTGCAGCAGGTGAAAGAAAAGCATTCAAAATATTCATAAAGAAAAGTCGGGACGTGAGTGAAATGAATTCCGCTGCTTCTTAACACTTGTCAAGACCTTCCGACGACAGAACGCTCCCGTTTAAATCACCTAAATTAGAATATGTTCGATTAGAAGTGTTACCAAAGAAACCATTTCTAGCTAATGTTTGTCAAAGAACTTCATTGTTGACTTGGGAAAAAAGAAGCTTCCCCATGCGTGACAGAAGATAGCGGCTTTCTTAGAGCTACAAATTAAATAAAAACGAGAACATTATTGTATACAGTTTCCCCCCTCCTGGCTGTCGACTACACAAACAGCCCGTGTGACCGCTCTGATGTTCCCATTAGTAACCCACTTAGATCATCGCAAAGTGCTTTAACTTCAACTTTTTAACTCGCTGCCACTTGATTTCTTTCTGTTTCGGAGAAATTTTAAGTGGAAAGGGTAAAAGTCACAATCATGAATAATTGAAGTGAAGAACTTCTACGGGGTACTCACCATTGTTGTTTATCCGTGTAGACCGTGAAGCCCCAGCTGGATTTAAAAAAAAAAGAGGAAAGACAAGGGTCAGATTTTGAAATTTTGGCTCCGCAAACCCAAACTTGCGATGTCCTGAATACTAATTTAATTTGAAAGGACACGTGGAATTTTAAACATCAAAAACCAATCAGCGGCAAACAAAGACAGAAAGTATCGTAAAGATGGCAGAAGGTCGGAAGATTTTTTTGAAACGAAAAAAAAAAAAAGGAAAAAGTTCAGCTCAAGTGCTCGGTGCTAAACAGTGGAATTAATTAAGGTAATTACAGCATGTTTATGCATGAGTGGATATCAATATGCTCCGGGCCAAAGGGTGCAACACACCAGGCACATGCTGCTCACCTTAGCTGCCTTTAAGTGGAATTTGTTGGGCGAGATTCAAAAGATTTTTTTAAAAATTCAATCCTGCAAGTCGGACACTTGGAACATCACCTGTTGCAGGTACGATAAATGAGCTAATTATTAGCAGCTGCAAGCTAAATAAAGTGACCCTCCTCCCACGTGCCGAGATGTCTGGATGCTGCTGGTTGTAAATGAACCTGCGCGGCGGCAGCGTGAGGTGAAAAGACCACCTTCCTGGAGAATACCCTGAAAACCTTCACAGCTGTGGCTTGGAAAGAAGAAGAAGAAGTAGTAGTAGGGGGAAGAACAAAGCAAAGAGGGGGCAGAGATGGAGAGAGAGCGCAGCCTGGAGCACCACTCCTGTGAGTTAAGACAGCCGATCCAACCCCGCAGTAGGCCGCTCACAAATAGACCTCTGCCTAATGAGGTACTGGAGCGCTGCCTCTCCTAACCCTCTCACTGCGACTCCCTCCATTCTCCTCAGCGCTCTGTCTTTATTTCTTTATTCACCATATCACTTCTCCCACAGCCCACTCAACAGTATATCTATGATACCACGCTGCATAATTCTTTCCTTCTGTCCCGCTTTCTCTCTCTCCTTCTTCATCTCCCTCTCTCTCTCTCTTATCCAGTTTTTCTCCCCCCTGAAGGACCAATGTAGACAATCGCTTTGCCCGACTCATTTTTCACACTTCCACCCTGACTCGAATTTCCGACATGGGGAAAATTATGAGGAATTATAATTGGGTAATGTGAAATATAGGGTTTGGCTTCTCAAAAAAAAATTTGACCAACAGGAAGTGCTGCGGGTTTGGCATGTGTCATAAATTATAATAATAGAGGATCATTAAAACAAGATGGCGGCGTTGTTTTCTAGCCGCAGAAACGAGGGAAGGAAGGAGGAAGGAGGGAGGGGGTTAACAATTTGTATTTGTTAAAATGCAATTACATTTAATCAATTTCATTACAGTGAAAAATCGGGTCAGGAGCGGCTCGGGGATCCCGTCGGGGGGGAACTTTAAAGGGGCGGGTGGGTGATGTATCGTCACACAAACAGCTATTAAAGACTTCGCTCAGGAAGACGGCGGTGAAGAATCGCTGCTTCATCTGCGGCAACAGAAGGCTTGATTCGCTGAGAATGTGTGCAGCAGCTGTTTTGGTGCTAATGAGTAACCATATGTATTATTATGAAGCTCAACCAAAACTTTGTGCCGGAAAAATACCTTTTTTTTTGTCTTCATGCAATATTTATTGCTCTACAAAATATGCAAGGAAAATTATTCCAATGACCGCTAGAACTAGTTCAGAATTGTTGACTGACCACTGCAGTGTATCTGTGATTGAACATCTGGAGGCAGAGGGAGACCAGCGACTACTAAATAATAGAGATGATATAAAGTATGTGGCAAATGAAAATCACTTCAGCTATGGAGGCAAAGCATAATGCAGCAAATGAATAAATGCACATTAAGTGGTGCACTTAACGGCAGCTCAGAATACAAAAAAAAGTTGCACGGCAGAATTTCTACTTTTTAAAGAAGGCTGAAAGCAAACGTTTTCTCATCGGTTGTGTCCGTTTACAGCACGTTCAACTAAAAAAATCTAACTTTTCATAATTTAGCGAGGCCTTTTTCCACTGAGTCAGACCTTAGAATGTATTATTTACCCCATTTTTCTTGCTTATAGGCGTCTTCCTGGTAAAAGCGCCGCATCCGTTCTCTTAAACGTCGGGCATTAATAGCGGCGGTTTCACATTAACTCCGCTGCAGCTTTTTGCTCGTTTGTACCGACTGCATGAGGGGAAACTGTGCAGCAATGCAAGACATGCAGCTACAATTGTAATTTCCATCCATCCATTATCTATACACCGCTTAAACCTCACTAGGGTCGTGGGGGGCTGGAGTCTATCCCAGCTGACTCAGGGTGAAGGCAGGGGACACCCTGGACAGGTCACCAGTCTATCACAGGGCTACACTTAGAGACAGTTGATATTTGGTCTCTGACTTTCAATTTGGCTTCTGCTGATTTAATGGGAAATTGTGTGTGAGATACTTTTGTGTTATTTGGGTTGTGTAGACTGGACGTGGTCCACGGCAACCGCATTCAGCAAAAGTCACCATTTTTCTAACTTTGCATCCCAATGATCTTTAGGTGACACCTACCAAATCTGAAGTCATTCTGGTCAATTCTCTAGGAGTACAACAATGGCTACACATCCAAAAAACTGCACCAAATCCATCCATCCATTAT